GCTTCCCCCGCCCCGCTCAGCTCCCCCCTCTGGAGGCAGGGGCCGCAGGGAGGCCAGGTTTCGCGCGGAAGAGCAGATATTTGCGGGGCTGCTGGGAGTCGTGCTTTCTGAGCAAGGCTTAATCACCGCCAGGATGTAACGATCTCTCCTCGGTGTCATATGCAGGCAGTGGGAAGGTGTCAGAGTGTATTCAGTGCTTTATTAAGCCATGCAGCATCACAGGGGCCCTCCTGAAGGGGGAGGCTGGGGAGACGGGGAAAGCTCCAGATCTGCTCGTCACTCTCGTAGCCGAAAGTGTGGGCTACGGAGAGTCGCGTACATGCAAACCCCCCTCCGTCTGTCGTCGAGCAATGACCCGCACAGGTTCACAGCTGATGTGTTGTCAAGTGCAAAGCCAATTGCCCATGGAAAGATTTCTGTCCTGGGAAACCTGCTTTGTGTTATGACTTTGGGGATGGAGCAATGCTGCTCCCCCTTCCCTCTGCACTTTGGCCTTCAGGACCCCATAAGCACTAAAGCCACAATACTGGGCAAGAACGAGATACCCAACTCAGGAGTCAGCGAGTTCCCCTAGGGTTCATGACCGTGACTTTGAGTGCTCTCCGTTGACATTTTTAGTAAGACTTCTGTGGGCTTTTTAAGCGTTTATCAAAATATTCTGCATGTATGCTGTGATGTGGCTTGTAATTAAAATGGGGCATAATGGCAAAGATTTCTGTTCTACATAGGTTTTACAAGGCTTCCAAACGTAGAGAGGGATACAGACTGCCTTTGCTGTGCTGGTACTAATTGCAGCCCCCTGATAGGAATGTAAATGCTGTTCCTTAGCACATTCTTATCTCAGCATGTGTGGGATTTACATATATAACTCCTATTAATGCTAATGGCAGCTATATACATAATTCTCTTTGTATAGGGCTGACACTATATTTTAATCTGAACCTGATGCAACTGGAACCAGCCATCTTACATAAGTGGAAAGATCTGTAGTTTCTTACTGGAAGCTTTCTTAAAATTTCAGTTCATTTAAAATGTAGGGAGGAAATGCAGGTAAAAACTTTGTATTGTGATATTGGCATGGAAGGTTCATAACATTCATCTAAAAAGTGTTGTGTTTTGCAGAGGATTATCAGTGAACCTGATCCTGTTTCCCTTAAAGTTTCTTTTTGTTGGGTGGTTTTTTTTTTTAATTTCATTAAATCAGAAATCAGGATTGGTGATTGCTGATTAACTCGCTAATTTAGAACCAATCAGCTTTTAATGTTTAGATGTGTTTAGAGGTTTATTTGGAGTATTACTACTTAGAAAATACAGTATCTTTTTTATTTAGAGCTATAGTCAGTTCATCGTTATGAATCTCTGCCAAAAGAGCCATGTTGTGCGTTGTGGTGCTCCTGAAGCCAGAAGCATCCTGAAAGGGTATCATGGTTGATATCTTCACCTATAATTAGAAGTTTGCTTTCACTGGTTAGCAAAGTCCCTCAGCCTCCTATTAGTAATATCTAAAGTTTTGTGTCTCTTCTTGTTTCTAAAGCTTTTTCTTCTTCTTTTTTTAAAATTTGTGTCTGGATGGGAGATGGCAGCTTCTCCTTTCAGATACGATGACACCCTGCTGTGGCTACACTCAGCTTGTCACCTCAAAATTGAATTACAGTAATGCCTACTTTCAGGGTAGAGGTTTGGGGCTTACCATAAGCTGACATGAATTGTCAGAAATCTATTGAGTGGAGAATTTACATCATCTGAAGCTGTCCTAGCCCTCCCTCCCATTCATTGTTGCATTTTTACATTTATTCTGCGCACACGAACAAGTGCACTCACATTGTACCAAGTTGAAAACAGGCATTTTTAAACAGGACTGTATTTAGACTGTAGACAGCATCCTTACATTCTCCTCCTCCTCTCTGCTGTGCTGTGGTAGTTGTTGCTAGACAAGACTGTTGAATGACTATCCCATTAATTTAAAAGAAACTAAGGGAAACATCATAGGATGTCCATGGTGGGGACCATCATCTAAAGAAGTTGTTATTTTTTAAGGTTCATTAGAGATAGAGATGGAGGATACACTAGCTGTTTGAAAGGTTGTCTCTGTTTTCATAGGATTTTAGTCTTATCATTTTTTTCCTTATGTTTTGGCTAAGGTTGGATTTCTTATCATTCAACTGGATAGTTAAGTTATTTTTTAAGGATTGTTGTGCATACTCTAGAAGACTGTTCTGACGAGCACAGCTTAAATGCTGAGGTAAATGTCAAAACCATAGAGACAGTTAGAGATAACAGAAGAATAAGATTTTGATGGCTCATTTATAACGTTGGGAAAAAGAGTTCAGTATCAGTGTATCATTGTGGCGAATGCACCGTGCTGCTGTAGTGTAAATCCTTTACAATGGAGGAATAAAGGTTTTATATTTATATATCACTGACTGCAGGAGAAATGGATCTGTTCCTTTCAACCTGAGAAATTTAAAGTTTTGGATAGTGTGTGAAAAATGCAAATGTTACTCAGAGATTTAGTAGCAAGAAGTGATACATAAACTTGCATTGCTGCACAGAAATAACATTTTGTAAACATAAATCTTGAATATAAAAAACTGAGAAACAGTGAAAACAAACTTTACATTGGTAAGTATTTGTTATCAGAAAAAAAATAATCTGAGTAGGCGGGACTGGCAGTGTAGACTTGTAAAAACAGTCATAGTGACTTTCTCTTTGCATTTGGAAGAATTGAAAAGACCTATTGCTTATTTAATGAATAATTTCCAAAGGATCTTCACTAAGTTAGTTTCTGTATGGAACCGTTACTGTATCTCAGTGTCCCTAGAAACAAACATTCAAATTGCGTGCTATTAGGATAAAATATATAATCCAGATTTGAATCCCAGATGGAGATGAGAACCTTTTGCTTTTGTACATTCTGTGAAACTCATTCTGTAACCTCAAAGTACCACTGAAAAATGGAAGGAACCCAATCATAGTGATTAAAACCCCAGTACCTAATTAAAATACTGTACCTGGTTGACTCATCTTTGTGCTGGCTGTCTAAACCTGACCTTGAAGTGTGATGGGGAAAAAATCACGTGGGAAGGCGTACGTTAGCCAGAAAGAACAAGGAAATGAGTTAAATGAATATTGTTTAATGAAAATTTTTCTTAACTCTTTTCAGGGAAGATCTGTAATTTGCATAGATCCTAGACACTGCACTTTCCAGAGCATTCCGTAGGCTAATTTAACATCATAGACTCGTTTATAAGAAAAATACATTTTTTCCTTTTAAAGAATCATCTTAAGGTTTAAACATGAATGCTATTCACATTGGATTTTGTGCTAAATTTTTCACAAACGTCTTGTTTTTCTGGTTAGTGAAAGCAAAAATGTTGGCAAGTTTCACATTTCAACTAAAAAGTAGTAAAGATTTCAAGGAGTGAGTTTCCTGTTAATTGGGCATTTCCACCCCTGTCATTGTATTAGAGATGTAACTTTAGACTTTCTGTTCAGGTCTGAATGCCACTGTGTTCACGGAAGTAGAATTTGGAGTATGCACAGTTACATGTGGTAAGTAGCAAAGCAGATGAATAAAACATATTGTCATTTGTGTTTGGGAAAAAAAAAGTGCTAACTGTAGCAATTTAGCAGTTGTAATTTGCTTGCCCTCGTTCACCTCTCATTGATTTCAATTGCCAATAACTATAATTAACAAAAACAATCAGGCTGATTGTCATTAGGAGTTTAGGTCAGATCTGTTGTTTTATTAATTTCACAGCCTGCAAGCTCCTATTTTAAACCAGCTCCCTACGTTTATTGGCACATGAGCTGCCTTCCCCAAAGTAACAATTTTCGCTATTTGTGAACATCTGTGAGATGTTCAGAAGATGAAAGATCTTCTGATGCTTCTCACAGATGTCTTCCCACATACAATATTGCCAAAAAATTGCTTGCCTGCAGTAGCCTGTTCTGTATTCCACATTTATACAATTTATAAATTGTGCAATGGAGAGGAGAGGTATCATTCTGGAGTAGGAAGGGAGAGAGGAAAAATGAGATGAGCCTTAAGAAGATATCTCTGCGTTTGGAGTGATGATAGAAACTGCTGTGAGGTGGTAATTACATTGCTTAGGAAGCAGTCTTAGAATCAGAAATGCTATTAATTTTTTTCTGAACAAATTCAGCTTCTCATAAGACCACAGAAAAAAGAGAGAGAAATGAGTGAGATGAGGTTTTGCCCCCATCAATCTGATGTTTTCTAGAGTATGCCTTTTTATTTTTTCCAGCCATTTTTTCATATTTCCAATGACAGAGCTTCCTTGTTTCCCTCCTATTTCACGTCTTAGGACATTATTGGTTTAGGAGATTTTTTTTTTGCTTCTACATACTTTAATATTTCTCTTTCTTCACTTCATAATTTCAGATCTGCTTATATGTTCCGAATACTGATGCCGTATATGTATCTTCATACTCTTAATAACCTCACTTGCTCTGATGCATACATCTTTTGGATACTAAGAAACTGTTCCTTATGTCCCATCCCTCTAGCAGATGTCTCAAATATTCTGTATTTCCAGGGAATTTCACTAAATTTTGTCTCCGTTTTATCTTTGATCCCTCAAAGTTAATGTTGTGGTGGGTTAACCTTGGCTGGCTGCCAGATGCCCACCAAGCCACTTTATCACTCCGCTCCTCAGCAGGACAAAGGGGGGAGAAAATAAGATGAAAAACTCATGGGCTGAGATAAAGGCAGTTTAATAAAGAAAAGCAAAGGCCTTGTGCAGAAGCAAAGGAAACAAACAAACAAAATTATTTTCTACTTCCCATCAGCAGGTGATGTCCAGCCACTTTCTGGGAAGTAGGGCCTCAGCCTGCAT